GTCCGTTCGGAACTTCTTAGGCTTCTGCTCGAAGTAGATCTCGCACTCCATGAGCCAATGCCGCAGGTTATGCTTCCTGGCATTATCGAACTCGAAGGGTATTTTAGCAAGCGAATCTACCATATCCTCGTCCTCAGGCGGCGCCGAATTCCGGTTCCCGCCTCGATTCATTCTCCAATTCTTCCGACCATGCGACCATTCGCTGTTATCATCGTCATCGTCGTCGGAAGGTTCTGGATCTCCCCCAAAGTTTCCTCTTGGTGGGTTTCGGGGAGGTAGATTTCCACCATTCCCTCCTACCGGAGCCGTTCCTACCGGTCGCCTGCCACTGTTTCCCTGCACTGGGCCGGCATCCTCCGGTTGCTTGCCTCCGTTTCCACCAACTGGGCCTGCTTCTTCTGGTTGCTTGCCATTCCCTGAGGTTTGGGGGCCAGTATTTTGAGGTTTCTTGCCATTGCCAACAGGAACCGTTCGGGGTGCATTAGGGTCTAGCGGAGCACTAGCCACGGAAGGTGCTACTGACAGATGTTGTCGCAGTAGTTCCTCCATCTCGGCTATTCGTTGGTTTCTCTCCTCATCGGACCGCTTGAATTGCGCAAACAAAGCTCGTTGCTCCCCTTTTTCCTGCTCCCGCTCTTCTCTCACCATCCTCAGTTGTCGCTCCGCCTCCTGTAGTTGGGTCTGGGTTTGATGATGACTTCGCTCCAGAACCTCATGGTCGGCGGCTCGTGCGGCTTCTTGTACTTGTCGGACATTGGCAACGAGCTCAAAGAGCGATTCGAGATGTTGTTTTTGGGCAATGGCTTCTTGCCGTACTTTCTTATCCAGGATTTGCCCACTCCCTTGGACTTGTTCCTGGAGGTTTTGTAGCTGCTGCCAAACGGCCTGTCCAGCTGCACCAAGATACCTCATTTGTGCCTCATGGGTATCCAAAAATTCCTGCATATTCCTCACGAACTGGGCTTGAGCAGAGCGTTTACTCGTTGACCTAGTTTGTGTAGAGGGTCCTCCCGTAAGTAGGGGATCTGGGCTAGCAGCCCTCGATATTACCATAGAATCTTCCCCCCCGGCCTCCTCGGTTACGGCCGAGGTATCTATGAAATAATTATCCCTTCGGGTAGTCATTGTGATAGGGGATAATGATGATAGTTCTTTTTTTTTGAGGTGACTTCGTTACTCCAAGTGAACTTGTGAGTAACAATATACTGTGAGGGATGCGTACCAGACCACAAGAGTACACTACGCAGAGCTCAGAGTTCGGCTAACAGCTACAAAGGTAGAAGTCTCCAAGGTCTCTTCAGTCAACGTCGAGTATAATTCTCCTTGATCCGATACGGGCCCCGCGAGCTACGTTATCAACAAAGATTCACTAGAGTTAGCGTATGATGCTTCGACCGTCTTCGACGTAATAGTTCAGGTAGAGTTCGAAGCCACGATAGAGTAAAGTAATTTCAAAAGTATAGTCAAATAAAGTTGTAACTCGCGTATCAACGATTTATATTGTTAAGACTCTGATTTCGCCGATGATGGTTTGGCTAGTCAGTGAATGACACGGTATTTATATCCCTCGCTTATGTCTCGAGGACCCAGTCTACTAATAATACAGAATACACTCGGGGCCTGCCCGAGACCCTGAAAAACAACCAAGAACATTTAACTCCTAAGTCCGTAACCCAAACTCCTAAACCCGCTAAAACCCCTCAACCTATTTACCCACTCTAATGCACGTTTCCCTGTCGATGTTTCCTCTCCATCGGCCGTCTGGTGGATAATCGTCAGCGCCGGCTACTTGTAGGTCTCGGACGACAAGGCTACCTACTCAGGCCTCTTCCCACATCGCTTTCCCACATAGCAGAGTCCTCTCATGCCCATAGGTACCGCCGATAGGTACTCGGTCGGCTGGTAGCTTGCGCCGATTCGCTCCGAGTGATCCGATCTTCGATCCGATTGCTTCCAGCTGTCCCTCATATATCCACCGGTACCAAAGCACTCCCCTCCGGCGGTTTGACGCTCCGGGGGTTATTATTGGGGTCGAAAACGTGTTTTTTATGACTCCGTGTTTTGGTCGTATTTTGGTCGCACCACACCCCGCGGGTGCGGTCCAGAGTTGGCGTTAGCGTGCAGAGGGTAATGGGGTATCTACTAGCCTTTTCTCGTAAATGCTTGGCATGCCCGTAACAGTGGTATATTGGCTTATTCCCCGACTTGTTCTTGTTAGTGCTCTTCTTATCTTGTCCTTTTTCCTTCTCCTCAGTCTGAGCCCTTCCCTTGATCTTAAACCCCTTTTCCTTCTGCCGCGAGTTCCCACCATGGTTCGACTCCTTTCCTCTCGACTCCGCTTTCCCCAACATTTTCATCTGCTCCTGATAAGCCTCATGAGCCTTACCGGCTCGTTCCAACTGTTGGATGTACTCGGAGTGGTCCTCTGTTGGATCGAAGCGTGAGTGGCGCTCCCGGATTTCATTTGGTAGCCCTTGGAGCAAGGCGGCGCGATAGGATGCCCCTTTCATCTGAGCATGCTGGTTCATAATCTCCATTCTCGTCAAGTAGTCCCCAATGTTAGCAGAGTACTTAAACTGCTGCATCTTCATTGCGTTTTCCATAGCTTCCTGAGTGCTTAGGAACCGTTTTCTGATCTCCTGACGGAACCGAGTCCAAGTGGCGTAGTCCGCGGCGGCCGGGCCTAGCATCTTGGTCTCGATATATTCCATAAACCATTCTTTTGCCAACCCACACGTATACGTTCCAGCGAACAGTACCTTGTTCCTGTCCGTTCGGAATTTCTTTGGCTTCTGCTCGAAGTAGATCTCGCACTCCATGAGCCAATGCCGCAGATTATGCTTTCTGGCATTATCGAACTCAAAGTGTATTTTGGCGAGCGAGTCTACCATATCGTCGTCTTCAGGCGGCGCCGAATTCCGGTTCCCGCCTCGGTTCATTCTCCAATTCTTCCGACCATACGACCATTCGCTATTATCATCGTCATCGTCGTCGGAAGGTTCTGGGTCTCCCCCAATATTACCTCTCGGTGGGTTTCAGGGAGGTTGATTTCCACCATTCCCTCCTACTGGAGCAGCTCCTACCGGTCGCCTGCCACTGTTTCCCTGCACTGGGCCGGCGTCCTCCGGTTGCTTGCCTCCATTTCCTCCTACTGGGCCAGCTCCTTCTGGTTGCTTGCCGTTCCCTGATGTTTGGGGGCCAGCATTTTGGGGGTTCTTGCCATTGCCAACAGGAACCGTTCGAGGTGCATTGGGGTCCAAAGGAGCACTAGCCACAGAAGGTGCTACGGACAAATGTTGTCGCAGTAGTTCCTCCATCTCGGCTATCCGTTGGTTTCTTTCCTCATCGGACCGCTTGAATTGCCCAAATAGCGCTCGTTGTTCCCCTTTTTCCTGCTCCCGTTCTTCTCTTACCATCCTCAGTTGTCGCTCCGCCTCCAATAGCTGGGTCTGGGTTTGCTGATGACTTCGGTCCAGAACCTCATGGTCGGCGGCTCGTGCAGCTTCGTGTACTTGTCGGACATTTGCGACGAGTTCGAAGAGCGATTCGAGATGTTGCTTGTGTGCAATGGCTTCTTGTCGTACTTTCTTGTCCAGGACTTGCCCGCCCCCTTGCACTTGTTCCTGGAGGTTTTGTAGCTGCTGCCACATGGCCTGTCCAGCTGTACCAAGATACCTCATTTGTGCCTCATGGGTATCCAAAAACTCCTGCATATTCCTCGTAAACTGGGCATGAGCAGAGCGTTTACTCGATTGCCTAGTTTGTGTAGAGGGTCCTCCCTGGAGTAGGGGATCTGGGCTAGCAGCCCTCGATATTACCATAGAATCTTCCCCGGCCTCCTCATTTACGGCCGAGGTATCTATGAAATAATTATCCCTTCGGGTAGTCATTGTAATAGGGGATAATGATGATAGTTTTTTTTTTTTTTTTTTTTTTTGAGGTGACTTCGTTACTCCAAGTGAACTTGTGAGTAACAATATACTGTGAAGGATGCGTACCAGACCACAAGAGTACACTACGCAGAGCTCAGAGTTCGGCTAACAGCTACAAAGGTAGAAGTCTCCAAGGTCTCTTCAGTCAACGTCGAGTATGAATCTCCTTGATCCGATACGGGCCCAGCGAGCTACGTTATCAACAAAGATTCACTAGAGTTAGCGTATGATGCTTCGACCGTCTTCGACGTAATAGTTCAGGTAGAGTTCGAAGTCACAATAGAGTAAAGTATTTCCAAAAGTATATTCAAATAAAGTTGTAACTCGCGTATCAACGATTTATATTGTTAAGACTCTGATTTCGCCGATAATGGTTTGGCTAGTCAGTGAATGACACAGTATTTATATCCCTCGCTTATGTCTCGAGGACCCAGTCTACTAATAATACAGAATACACTCGGGGCCTACCCAAGACCCTGAAAAACAACCAAGAACATTTAACTCCTAAGTCCGTAACCCAAACTCCTAAACCCGCTAAAACCCCTCAACCTATTTATCCACTCTAATGCACGTTTCCCTGTCGATGTTTCCTCTCCATCGGCCGTCTGGTGGATAATCGTCAGCGTCGGCTACTCGTAGGTCTCGGACGGCAAAGCTACCTACTCAGGCCTCTTCCCACATCGCTTTCCCACATAGCAGAGTCCTCTCATGCCCATAGGTACCGCCGATAGGTACTCGGTCGGCTGGTGGCTTGCGCCGATTCGCTCCGAGTGATCCGATCTTCGATCCGATTGCTTCCAGCTGTCCCTCATATATCCACCGGTACCAAAGCACTCCCCTCCGGCGGTTTGACGCTCCAGGGGTTATTATTGGGGTCGAAAACGTGTTTTTTATGACTCCGTGTTTTGGTCGTATATTGGTCGCACCACACCCCGCGGGTGTGGTCCAGAGTTGACGTTAGCGTGCAGAGGGTATTGGGGTATCTACTAGCCTTTTCATAAATACTTGGCATGCCCGTAACACTCTGTCCATCTACACTTGGAAAAACCACCCTTTGTACCAAGACGAATGTGGCGACAAACAGACTGGAAGCTATTGGATAACCACATATCAAACCTTTCCCTCCCCGCAGAGGCATGGGAAACCAAGGAACACACGGAACAAACGGTTAAATTCTTCCTAGAGCTGATCAAGTCAACAATCAACATAGTTACGCCACTCTCGAAGGAGGGGGTAAGAGCTAACTCCTGGTGGTCAGACGAACTGAAACAAATGAAGGCAAAAGTAAACTCGGCAGGAAGGAAGGCGAGAAATACAAAGAACCTAAACCATGTGGAGGAGCACCGGAAGGCATGCAGAGAATGGACAGTCATGATCCGGAAAGCAAAAGCAGACCAGCGGGAAAAGACGATGAACGAAGCGAAAGGTAGTGAGGTCTGGAGAGTCCTTAATGCAGGAAGGAGAAGAGACACAATCATACCAATCATACAAGGTGAAGAAACGTTTGCGGGGAAGTGTCAAGCTCTAAGAGCCCAACTTTTCCCCTCGAAACGGACGTCCCCCGACCATCCCCCCCTGAACATTAGACCCCCCTCTTTTGACCTAAGCAATACTTTCGACACAGTTACCCCTGAAGAACTCAAGAAAGCAATCGACTCCTGCCCAGCGCACTTGGCGACCGGCTCGGATGGCATTCCCTATACCTTTATCAAAGCAATAGTTAAAGCGAACACAACTCTAATCCAAGACATGTTCTCCGCCATGCTTCGGCACGGAGTACACCCAGCGGAATGGAAAATTGCAAAGTGCATCCCGATCCCGAAACCCGGCAAGGCAAACTATCAAGAAGCGAAAGCATATCGGCCCATCTCCCTCCTACAATGCTTCAGCAAAATCCTGGAGAAAATAGTGGCTCAAAGACTCTGCACCTCCGGAGAAATCCTAGGCACACTCTCAGCGAATCAATTTGAAGGAAGACCAACTATCTCAGCAGTCGACGCCCTCTTGAGAACCCTAACACCAATTCAACAAAACCTATTACTGAAAAACAGCACCGGAGTCGCCCGGCGGGACAGACCAGCGATCCTAACCAACGACATCCAGGGAGCATTTAACTGTGTAGATCACCTACTTCTCGCAGAGATCATGCACCAGCAAAAATTCCCCACCTACCTAACAGAATGGTGCAAGTAATTCAACACCGGTAGAAAACTACAGTTCCAATTCAACCATGAGCTAGAGGAACCACAGCCCTATGATTCTGGAGTGCCGCAAGGTAGCCCCATGTCCCCGGTATTATTCATGATTTATGCCGGAGTAATCCTGGACCCAACACACAGCCCGAAAGAGATGGATACTACATACATCGATGATGATGTGCTGGTGCAAATATCCAAAACACCAGGCTTCATAATTAAAAGAATGGAGGAACGTATGAGAGAAAGACTAATAAAAGCCGAGCCACTCCAAATTAAATACGATCCGGATAAATCCGACCTGATCTTCTTCCGCCCCACCACATCATCCATACAACAACCACGACTTCCAGTCAAAATCAATAACACCACTATATACCCCAAGGAGAGGCTGAAATACGTAGGAGTCTGGATAGATCTGACCCTCTCCTTCCGGCCCCATATCGAAGCAGCGATCGCGAAAGGCCTTAAAGCCCTCCACCAAATCCGAAACACTGCCCGCCTGACAGGCATAACAGTTAAGACAATCCACCACCTAATAACACAAGGCTTCCTTCCAAGCCTGCTCTACGGATCCGAGGCTTGGTGGACTGGTGCAGACCACATTATAAGATCCCTCGAACCACTATACAATGAAGCGGCCCGGGTCATCACCGGCCTACCACGATGGACCAAAAGAGCTAAACTCCTCCGAGAAGCAGGACTACCCCCCCTAGAATACCTCCTGACATATCGCTCAAGAAAGTACGGAACCAGAATACTCTGCTCCGAGGCAACCCACCCCAACAATGAATCCCTGATCGAGCTCCTCCCATACAGAGAAACAAACATCAAAGGAACAGGCCTACACCGAATCGCCTCCCTCTTACTTCCATACCAAACCCCCGGAAATATGAGAGACAAGTGGAACCAAAACAAACTATTACGCGACCAACTGTTAGAAGAATGGAATATACAACCAATACCTAACTACCACCATCGGGGGGAATTTCGCCCCCCTCCCAAGATTGCAAAACTCACCCTTACAGAAGCAAAGAAGGTATTTCGAATCCGATGTCAAACCACCCGGATCGACAAATATGCAGCACACACAGACCCCGAACCATGCCAGTGTGGGATGGAAAACTCAGCGAAACATATACTTATGGAATGCCCAGCGTGGGCTCGAATCCGCGCCCCCTTGATAGAGGAAATCCCCGGAGCGATGACCTGGGAAAATTGGATGTTCACAAACCTGAAAACGGACCTTATCCTACAATTTGCAAAGAAATCTCAACTCTCGAAATGGTACGAGTCGTTGGAGGTGGAGGCGGACCTGGAAGAGGGGATGGAAGAAAATGATTAGAGGCGGGATTAGGAAGGATAGTTTCCTTTTACCTTTTACTTCTTGTTTCGTTGTTTTGATGGATCCAGTGCCCGAGTTCGCTGAGATATGTTATTTTTCCTTGTTGTTGGGCTTTTCCGGTTGTGTTCTGCTCTTGAATTTCCTTACCGTTGTTCGTGTTTGTTTTATTTCTTGCTTTGTTCGTTGTTTTCTTTCCTTTGTTTTGTTTGGTTTTGTTCGGTTTCGTTTAGGCGGTTGGTTTGGCGTGCGATAAGTCTTGTACTTCAAAGCAATATAAGATTCTTCTTCTTCCTCTGTATTCTACTCCACGAATATTATTCTTGTTCTATGCTACGTCATAGGGTTCAGTTTGGTGAGCAGACCCAAACAGAGCCGCCCCATAGTCCATAGTCACGAACATCTTCTACTACGTCTTCGTGTTGGTTGTATTCCTTGGCACTATAGTCCATCGTCCATAGACCCACGTTATACGTAGGTTGCGTCCTTTATCGCCAACCAATACAACACCTTAGTCTACAATGTCGGAACACGTCTCTATTGATTATCAACAACTCAACGATAACCTTCAAAGGTTTTTTCAAGCGCACCCACAGGTCGATGATGTTGTCGGAACTGAAGCCTATGCGCTTCTCCAGCAGTGTCAACATGGCCTTGCTCAATATGCAACGGATTTACAGGAGGTAGAAGCGGAGGCTGAGAGGGCAAGAGGAATGTTTGAACGAGATCTTGCTGCTGCCCGAGCTCAACGAACTGCTGTTCAGGTTGTGGCCCCTGATGAAGAACCCATTGGAGATAATGCCCCACCTGTACCCCCAGTACCACCAGCTACAGGCACCATCTATCGGTCGGAGAAACTTCCAGATCCTGAGGTGTTCAGGGGGGATCGTGATCGAGAAAGGTTACACTTATTCAAGCAACAAATGAAAGTTAAGCTACTGGGAAACACCGATCGCTATCCTACACTACAGTCTAAACTATCCTATGCGTTCAGCAGATTGGAAGGCGTTGCTGCCAGTCAGTTCTTACAGTATGTCGGAGAAGAAGGTATTGCCTTACCTTCTATGCTACGGTTTTATGAAATTTTGGATACAGCCTTTGGGGACCCCGATCGAATGCGTACAGCTAGAAGGAACCTCCGGAATATCCGTCAACGAACTCGAACCTTCGCCGACTATTTCGCTGAATTTCAACGGTATGCTGCTGAGTCGGGCATGGATGAAACCTCTCGAATTGAGGCTTTGATGGAAGGTATTAATGCGGAACTCGATGAATCAATCATACACCATGAAACTCCTACGACGGTAGATGCCTGTGCGACACTTTTGCAACGGTTGGATAATCGCCATCGAGCGGCAGAAGCTAAACGAGGAAATAAAAAGTTTTGGAATATTACTACTACTCCGGCCCCTCGTCCCCCACCAGCGAACCCTGTCCCTGCTCCACGTGCCGCCGCCCCAGTCGCCAATGTACCTGCTACTGAAAATCATCTCTCGTTCCGCTCAGGAGGTGATGTACCAATGGATCCATCTGGAGGACGTCGTCGCCCTACCCCTGCCGAAAGAAATACCCGCTTAGTTGAGGGCCGATGTTTCTATTGTGGAGGTGTTGGACATATGGTTAGGGATTGCCCCCGAGCAAGGGCAACTGGAAATCAACCAAGGAGGCCTGTGATGAGAGGAGCGGCATTGACGGTGGAAGAAAATGCCGGAAGTGATAACGAGTCGGCAAAAGATTTGTCCCTGCACTAAGTGGCTTAGCACAGGGACCATTTAAGGATTTTTCTAGGATGTGTATTTCTGGTTTTTCGGTATCAGAGGAGGAAATGGATGGAAATTGTTACGCGCATGCCAAGCATTTACGGGAGTGAGAGAAAAGGCTAGTGGATACCCCAATACCCTCTGTACGCTAATGTCAACTCTGGACCGCACCCGTGGGGTGTGGTGCTGTGAGGGATGCGTACCAGACCACAAGAGTACACTACGCAGAGCTCAGAGTTCGGCTAACAGCTACAAAGGTAGAAGTCCCCAAGGTCTCTTCAGTCAATGTCGAGTATGATTCTCCTTGATCCGATACGGGCCCCGCGAGCTACGTTATCAACCAAGATTCACTAGAGTTAGCGGATGGTATTCGACCGTCTTCGACGTAATAGTTCAGGTAGAGTGCGAAGTCACGATAGAGTAAAGTATAAAGAATAGTATAGTCAAATAGAGTTGTAACGCGCGTATCAACGATTTATATTGTTAAGACCATGATTTCGCCGATGATGATTTGGCTAGTCAGTGAATGACACCGTATTTATATCCCTCGCATACGTCTCGAGGACCCAGTCTAATAATAATACAGAATACACTCGGGGCCTGCCCGAGACCCTGAAAAACAACCAAGAACATTTAACTCCTAAGTCCGTAACCCCAAACTCCTAAGTCCGCTGAAACCCCTCAACCTATTTACCCATTCTAATGCACGTTTCCCTGTCGATGTTTCTTCTCCATCGGCCGTCTGGTGGATAATCGTCAGTTTCGGCTGCTAGTAGGTATCGGGCGGCAAGGCTACCTACTCAGGCCTCTTCCCACATCGCTTTCCCACATAGCAGAGTCCTCTCATGCCCACAGGTACCGCCGACAGGTACTCGACCGGCTGGTAGCTTGCGCCGATTCGCTCCGAGTGATCCGATCTTCGATCCGATTGCTTCCAGCTGTCCCTCATATATCCACCGGTCCAACAGCACTCCCCTCCGGCGGTTCGACGCTCCGGGGGTTATTATTGGGATCGAAACGTGTTTTTTAACTAGGAAAACCGCAACTCCGCATTTGGTCGTATATTGATCGCACCGCACCTCGTGGGTGCGAACCAGAGTTGATATTGGTATTAGAGGGTATTAAGGTATCTACTTAGCTTTTCTTCTACTCCCGTAAATGCTTGGCATGCCCGTAACACAGGGTGAGTCTTTCCGTCAATAACCTGGGATAGAATTGCGGCAATAGCAAAATCACTTGCGTCCGTTTCCACGATAGTCTGGCGATCTGGAGAGAAGTAGACCAAGATCGGCGCAGACGTAAATAGGGTTTTAAGTTTTTCGAAGGCTGCTTGGGCCGTCATAGACCAGACAAAGCTCTTAGCATCACCCCTGAGACAATCGGTAATGGGTTTACAGACTCCGGAGAAATTGTGGATGAACCTTCTGTAGAAGTTGGCAAAGCCCATGAAGATCTGTACTTCCTTAACGCTGTGCGGGGCTTGCCAATTCATAACAGACATGACCTTATCCAGTGCCATAGTGACGCCTGCTGGGGCAAGGATGTATCCGAGGAATTCGATTTCGGTGAGCTTGAAGAAAGATTTCTTCGGGTTGGGGACTAGGTTGTATTTGTTACGGGCATGCCAAGCATTTACGGGAGTGAGAGAAAGACTAGGAGAGACACCAATACCCTCCAATACTAATGGGAACACCACTATCAACTCTGGTTCGCACCCACGAGGTGTGGTGCGATCAATATACGACCAAAATACGGAGTTGTAAAAAACATGTTTTCGACCCTAATAATAACTCCCGCAGCGTCAAGCCGCCAGAGGGGAGTGCTTTTGGGCCGGTGGATATACGAGGGACAGCTGGAAGCAATCGGATCGAAGATCGGATCACTCAGAGCGAATCG